AAATTATAATAATTTCTCATATTTTCTATTTTCCTCCACTCACTCTGTTTATTATTTTGGTTCAGTTTACAATCGCCCCCAGTTTAAATGATTATGATTTTCTTTTCTTCTGTTTATTATTTTGGTTCATTACTTAATTCAATATCAACCGCAACTTTTTCTTGATGGGTTTTATGCCAATATCAACCATTCTTTTCCTCAAACTTTACATCTCTACTAGTTTCTATAAGACTAGATCATAAAGTTTGTACGCCTGTGACAACTCACTAACTCCAAGTAATACACACTTCAAACTTTTATCCTCAAGCTTTGTTCTTTTGTTGTCTTGTTCATGAACATACACAGTTCATCCAAAAATTCTAAAATGTGAAACTGATGGTTTATGTTCTCTCCAAGCTGCTTTCGGAGTCATATGCTTCACGGTTAGAGTGGGACTTCTATTGAGAATATGAATCGTCCAGTTTGCTGCTTCCGCCTAGAAAGCTTTTTGTATCTTTTTCTCTGTCAGCATGCATCTAACCATATTCATAATTGTCATGTTTTTCCTTTCTGCCACGCCGTTTTGTTGAGGAGTATAAGCCGCTCTTGGTTGCCTTTGAATACCATTTTCATTACAAAAGCTAAAAACTTCTTTGGATGTGAATTCACCACCTTGATAAGTTATCGGCACTTCATGTATATACCAGTTTCTTTTTCAACCATACTCTTGAAGTGACTTTAGTCCAACACAACTTCGATGCCCATATCGACAATGTCATGTTCTTGTGGGATCTTCTGTAATAGCATTGAATCAGGATTGTTCATTTGGTAGAGATTAAACAAATAGAATAAATAGAATATGTCATGTCATTGAAGTCTCTGCAGTCAGCCCTATGTCAGGCTTCATCCTCCTTTTTGTATAAGAATTTCAAGACTTTTTTTTTTTGGCAGCTGTCCGATGCTCTGCAAGTTGTCTTTCAAGTCTGGTACATTAAATACCTCGGNTATTCTTATTATTATTATTATTTTTCACAGGTCGTTACACAACAAAAGACCCGAAATAAAATAAATAAGCGTTTAAGTTTAAAACATTCTATTCTAGCCTGAGTTTAAGAAAATAAATAACACTATTCTATGCATGTGTCATGGTCTCGAGTTGCGATGCCGTCGTCAGCCGTACAGGAATGCGTTGCCTTAACCTGAGAAATGTAGTAGCACGTGGCTTGAGTATTTAAAGAAATACTCAGCAAGTGACCCCACTATTGGGGTTAAATGCAACAATCACANGAAGACTTCATTTAAATTCCATAAAACATAACCTTTATCTTAAAACAAACCCATGGACTTAGGTGTTTTGAAAACATCTTTAAAACGACACAACATGTAACGACCCTAAATTTCCACATACTCAGAGTTGCTACTAACGTCTCATGCTCATCTATAATACGGAAATATAACTTTTACATGAACATAATTGATAACATAAACTTCAAAAAAAACGTTTAAAACAACTTCTTCTCTGGAAAACACAGTCATGGTCTTACGTGTTAAAATATGAAGTATTGAAATTTAGAGAAAACAAAAACAAATACAAAATAATTTAAAACAATGAAATGCAAAACAACCTATTCTAACTTAAGACTAGAAGTTTAAATATGAATCTACCCTATGCACGTGCCACAGTCTCTGCTCGCGATGCCGCCGTCCTCCGTACANTCGGATACCCGCTAGAACTAGTAACCGTCACTAGTATATTTTTATATTTTAATCAAAAATGAATATTTTAAAATGTGAAATACTAACAAAAGATGACGAACGGTGTGAAACGAAGCGAACTCCGGCAACATTTGGAGTAGCACACGAGGAACGGGTGCTTACAATTAAATTAGGGAGTATTCCAGCTAAGGCCGACCAAGTAAGTGGCCGTACTGTAAGGTGATTAGAGATAGGTCCTTAATTCATGCTTGCATGTGTTTGCATTAGCATGACTCCTATAATGGGGTCATTTACTGAGTATTTCTTCGAAATACTCAGACCGTGTGACATATTGTTTTTCAGGTAAAGGCAAGGCGCCCATGTACGGTTGACGGCGACATTGTTATTAGAGACTGTGATGCGTGCATAGGATAGTTGCATATTTAAAATTCCTAGTCTTGACCACGATAGGGTGTTTGCATTTCATTTGTTTAAATTTTTTAATTTGTAATTTTTTTACTAGTCTTGACCACGATAGGGTGTTTGCATTTCATTTGTTTAAATTTTTTAATTTGTAATTTTTTTATCTTATTTGACCACGATAGGGTGTTTGCATTTCATTTGTTTAAATTTTTTAATTTGTAATTTTTTTATCTTATTTTGAACTCCAACATGATGGTTGAAACACGCAAGTCCGACAGTGTTTTCTAATGTTTTAACATATTCTGAAGTTTTAAATTTTTTCGCTAATAAAGATGAGCATTCTTAGAGTTATATTCTGCATTAGAGATGAGCATGAGACGTTAGTGGCGACTCTAGATACGTGGAAATTCAGGGTCGTTACATGCAATGATCATCATTTCCATATAATATACATTACTTTAAAGTAATAGGGAGAGTTATTCCAAAGTGTCCAAACATATAGTTAATTATTCATTGGTTGATGGGGCTTATTAATATTACCCTAAATAATAATATGAATTGATTAATTACACTAGCGGGCGTCCGACCTAAGCGGCTCCTAGAGTATGCCCACCGGATAAGGAAGGTGGCCCAGCAGTGAGCGAACTAGCTGGTGAGCCCATACTCGCACGTATTGGCAGTGTGTAGAGTATATGGTACACGTCCAAAATTACCCGTTAGGACAGCACCGTAGGAAAAGTGAAACGAAATGAAAGATAGGTCCCGTCATTTCATTGCATGTGATTGTTGCATTTAACCCCAATAGTGGGGTCACTTGCCGAGTATTTCTTTAAATACTCAAGCCATGTACTACTACATTTTTCAGGTTAAGGCAACGCATTCCTGTACGGCTGACGACGGTATCGCAACTCGAGACCATGACACATGCATAGAATAGTGGTATTTATTTTCTTAGACTCAGGCTAGAATAGAATGTTTTAAACTTAAACGCTTATTTATTTTATTTCGGGTCTTTTTTTGTGTCATTTTAAAGATGTTTTCAAAACACGTAAGTCCATGGGTGTGTTTTAAGATAAAGGTTATGTTTTATGGAATTTAAATGAAGTCTTCAACATTCAATGTTATGGTATGTATAAAGTAGCGACCTTAAATTAAGTAGAAAATTTCGGGTCGTTACAATTGTGACGGAAAAAGAAAATGAAATGTTTAAAGTAAATGAGATTATGCAAATAATCACCAAGGTATTTAATGTACCAGACTTGAAAGACAACTTGCTGAGTATCGGACAGTTGCCAAAAAAAAAATGTCTTGCAATTCTTATACAAAAAGGAGGATGAAGCCTGACATGCTGACTGCAGAGACTTCAATGACATGAAATATTATGTTTACTCTATTTGTTTAATCTCTACCAAATGAATAATCCTGATTCAATGCTATTACAGAAGATCCCGCAAGTGATGGTGTTAATATAACACATGCGGAAGCAATTTGGATCTTAGGCACTTTTAGAACATCAATTATTGTAAATAACTAGCATGTTCATAAGTATTAAAACTTAATGAGTTTAAATACTAACCTTTTGTAGTTCAAA